GTGGGGAGACTGCGTGTGGACGGTGGTTGGGGAGGGGGAGCACCACACGTAACCCTTGGTGCGCAGTAAAGGCGCTTTCCCCGCACGTTGGGGCACTTGGGCCCTCCTGGCATCTCATTGGCTGAGCCGCGGGGGAGCATGAGGCTCCGCCCCATGACGTGAGAGGGGGGAGGGGCAGGGTCATAATGGTGGAGGGAGCTGGACTCGGTGGTCCTCCAGCATCCCACAATGCTGTGCTCCTGGCCCCACTTCAGCCGGGGTGGAGCCCCTGGGCACGGGCTGAGCGTGAGCTTGAGTAACAGGGGCGTCTTGTTTCCCAGCATGGATCCAGCAGCTGGGAGGCAGCTGACCTGGGCAACGAGGAGCGGAAGCAGAAGTTCCTGCGGCTGATGGGCGCGGGGAAGGTGAGCCGGGGCTGCAAGTCACTGCCACGGGTGAGCTCAAACAGCCCAGGGTTTGTCCGGTGCCCGCGGCTGCCTGATATGTTTCCTGGAAAGGCTGAGGCTTTGCCAGAAATTGGCAATCTTTTTTTAATATTAAAGATTGGGGTTTTTTTTTTTAACTTAAATCAGATTTTTTTTTATTCATATTTTTTGTTAAGATTCTTTTAAAAAAAAAACCTGCATAAAGGTAGTTTTAATTTAAGATATGTTAAAGGGCAAAGATCGTCATGGGATAGGGATTGTAACCTCTAATTATGTATTATTTGAGACAATGTATTCATGTAACCTTTTTAGAAAAAAGTTTTATAAATAGGTCACAGCAGGTCATGGACTGTATTAGGGGCCCAATCTTCCCAGATGCTCCTCTGTAGATTAGTAAAGATTAAAGAAAACCACTCTACCCAGTGGGACTCAGTGCTCAGTCTAGAAGATCCCATTAAGCATCCCTGTGCTGCTTAGCATCAGTTCTGTGGATTTGCGTCTCCAGAGATAACATCCTTATTAACAGTGGTATATGTAGATAAGAGAGAACAGGCCTGATCAGCCCTCTTGTCTCTCTGGAAGTTTGTGTATGCAGAGTCAAGCCCCTACCTCGCTCTAAAATTGCAAAGTTTCAAAAAGTTCAATGAATGGAGGATATCAAACAACACAAATGCACTTTTTTTGTAGAAAACAGTGATTAAATCGAGGCTTCCTGACCAGTGATTTAAATTGTGATTTAAATGGATTTGATTTAAGTCAAATCCACCCTGGGCCTTGCTGTTGAGGCACATGGTGATTGGAGGCCAAAACTTGCTTTGCAATCCAGGGGCTTGGAGACAGCGGTACAGAACTTGTGCTTTCAGTTGCGCCTCTTTTGTGATGTTAGCTTGCTTTTGGCAAGAATGAGGTTTAACATCGAGCAGTTCAAACCTACAATTTCTGTATTAGCATTGCTATGCAACAGGAAGGCTCTAGTGTTATCTTTGAATACTGACAGTCATTCAGTGTTTTCACATCAGCCTGCCAGATAGTGGAAAACATTTTCTAGCTAACCTAGAATTGGCATCTTCCAATATCTTAATGCTTACGTATGACAGCAGCTGGATGAGCAAAAAAATATGGCTTGTACACCCACTCATAAAGTGTGAAAGTTGATTTCGTATAAAGGAGCAAACTTTTAAAATGCACTAGTTGTATATGAGGTTATCTTTCATATGATCCATGTAGAGCTGGTAGAATTACGTGAGATATTAGATATTACCAACCCAAGACCTGTATTTGTATGTGCATTGCACTTTCCTGTTACAGATGCTTTCATCATGACCTAAAATAGTAACTTTCTTTTTTTTACTTCAAGGAAGAAGGAGGAATTAAAATTTCACTTCCGCTCTAGTTGCTTTCCTTGACAAAGCTAGAAAATACTGCATTCACTTTAGCGGGGTAGCAGTGGTATATGAAGAATTGTTGGTTACAAGCATTACCACAGATTAATCCACATGACAGTGACAGATTGTGTTCCCACAGAGGTGGCTACTACAAGCAGATGTGATAGCAGTTCTTGTGCATAGGGTGACAGGCCAAAGCCCTCACAATTAGCAGTGATTTAACCAATGCCGCATTCAACTAGAAAAGTACATGCAGCTGAACATTATGGACCCCCACATTTGATATGCCCAAGCAGCTGGTAGCTTTCTGTTAAGTAAAAGAAGGAGAACAAAAACGAGGAGAAATATTAAAAAAGAAAAGAAAGATGTGGAGGGGAGGGACACCCAAATGTCAAATCATTTACATGGGACTTGAACAAAAGAGATCGAACTCATGAAATCTAGGTTGTGACTTGAAGTATTGTGCTATCCATTGTAATTTTGGCAATTACTGGTCTCCCTTGTCCTGCTGTAACACCATCATTTCCTTCTCCTGAGGGTGGGGAATCTATGTACTCACCAATAAGATCCAGTTGAAACCAGCTTTTGTCAATGGGTGTGAAGGTGAAGCAGCCCATGCCTTAAAAACTAGTTGTCAGCAGAGGAAGGTAGGGGTTCCCCTCTCCAAGAGTTATGGAGACGAGTAGAGGTGTCGGAGTTCACTGTAAGCTCCAAAACAAACTGCATTTTCTTTTTAGAGAGAACGCACTGGCCGCCTCGTTATTGGAGACCACAGATCAACTTCTCACTTCAGGACAGGTCAGTTTATCCAATAGTTGACAAAAAATTGGAAATCTGTAAACTTGCATTCATTTAGGGAACCAGAGCTTCCTTATAGCTTCCTACATTTTAGCTTATAGTCCTAGAAGCTGTAGATAGGACTGTAACTATACGCTTATTGTTAAGGTCCTTATGGTTGTCCTCGTACAATAACTCAGAATGATGGATTTCATTTGTGTGGCTAATGATGAAGAATGGAGATCAGATTCTAAGTCCCTGTATCTCCTTTTGTGTGTCTAAATAATTACTGAAAAGGGGTATTTTTAGTGAAAAGAATGGTTTGTCTACAACCAAAATTCAGCAAAGTAGTAAATGCAACACTTAACTGGAATGCAAAGTATTGAAATGCTTTGCTTTTAAACATGCTGAAAAATCTTGCCAAATTGAGGTCTAAATCCTCAGCGTCATTTTCCTGATTTAGAAGCAAAAAGCTTTATTTTTATCCACACCTTGAATTAGCTACAGCATTAAGAGGCTGCATTCTGTTACACCTGATGAATTGCTGCCAACTGTTGATGTTCATTGATGCTAGAAGCTTGGGCATGGAACAGAACTGGCCTTGTGTTAGACTCTCCACTGAGTATGTAAACTTTTAAAAAAATAATAATTAAAAAATAAAAAAAAAAGATTAAGAGAAATCTATGACCTAAAGACTAAGCCAGTTTGATAAGAGGCGAATCACCACACTCGTACAAGGTGCACAAGTTAAAGGTAAACTTTTTGTTTCTGATTGCTAAGTTGATTTTGCAAATCTGTTTCTCCTCAGGGTCTTACCTATCTCCTGGAAGCTGAGGTATCTTCAACTGTCAGATTTCAAACTGGGCTTGATTAGTTAGGCCAAAGTACAGAAAGGCTTTAGCACAGCTTAGTCTTAGGTCTGTAGACCAGGAACTGCCAGGTTGCATTAGATATTTTTTTTCTGATATGCCGACCCCCAAGTTGAAGCAACATTAAGTGTGGCAAGTCACAATAAAGCTACTCATTCTGTCGGGGGGCTGGTGCTTCCAACCTGCCTGCCACTGCATGTTTGTTTTTCCCCTCCCTCTTCCCCCTGTTAGCTAATTCAAATGCGTTTGCTACAGAAATTTGGAGTCTGTTTCTGGCTTTTTGATTGGCCTCTTAGGTGACATTTAGCAGGTCACTTCATCCCCTCTGTTTTCACCGGCCTCACTGTTCATCTGTTTTTTTTTAAAAAAGGAATATGTAAGAGCTATTAGTTGGACACTAGCAAAAAGCTGTGGTTAGGATGTGACAGGGTGCCAGGTCCCGCAGTTTAAAATAAAACACTTTTAATCAGTTGCAACAGAAAATAACCTACTTGCAACCATCCTACTTTCCACACTTGTCTGTCTTCTTCTCTGAATTCTTACAGCATGAAGTAGTCTATTTACATATGTGGAAAATTAAGACAAATCTCAGTTCTATGCCCATTCTCTGTCTACAAAACAGTGGGGTTCTCAATTATTTTTAAAATTTGACCTATATTTTGGTAAAGGAAATAATTCATTACTAACTTTACTGAGAAGTAAGATAGGATATGCAAAAGCAACTGACCTTGTCTGCTAAGGAAATATGAGAAGTAGGCTGATAAAGAAAAACATCTAAGCAGCCTCAGTTTCATGCTGCTGAGAATTCAAGTAAGCATGAAATGAAATGGTCCAGGGCACAAGTAGTTCATCTAAAATGTAGCAAGTTGAATACAGAAGTGATGTTCTTGTCTTCTGTTGTGTATTTGAGTGGGTTCCTTTAGCATTAACCACTGACTTTTTTGCAGTGCGTTGATTTATCAGTTTAGACCACATGTGAAGTATGGTCAATTCAAGTGTGGAAGCTTCTGTTCCATGTGATATTTTAACCTTGCGGTGAAACAAATTGTAGTACTAGCAGGATAGGAAATTCTTAACTGGATTATATTGCGACAAATAGTGCATCTAGAGTAGATGCATGAAGCATCATTGAATAGATATTATACTTGGTCATCTATGATCACACCCTTACGATAAGAGTATTTTACTTCACTCATTGAACAAATTAATTGGTCTATGTAAACGGATGTTTACACGGCTGACAAAGGTACGTAGTCTATAGTAAGAAAGTGGTCAAGCCTATACTTTCTAAGACTGAAAATTTGTGCATACAGTACTGAATTCTAAAAAATAAATAAATAGTGACTGTGTGTAATCAGATGTCTTTGTTAATTTGACTGAACCATAACCAAAGTACACTGGACCTGCAGGGGAAGAAGACAAGAAAATGAATGAAGAGTTAGAGTCTCAGTTCCAGCAGAGCATGGACAGCACAATGTCAGGAAGAAATCGGCGACATTGTGGACTTGGTTTCAGCGAGGTAGTAAGTTACTTACTCTGTTGTTGACTCATGGTTGTTCCAGTGCGCATGGAGATGACACTTGACTTAAGCATCCCACAGCTGTTTTCAGTAACAGATCGAAACCAAATCAGCAGCTGTTAGATACCTGTACTTGAATATAGAGTTTCCAGAGAATTCTTAGATGCCTACAAGATTCATGGTCTAAACAGGAATTATTAAAGCTTTTCCAAGAGGGATCTTACACACCCATTGCAAATATAAGGTAGAACCACGTAATAGTTCTATCTTGGCATTTAAGAAAGGAAGAGAAGAATATAGTTCAGAGTGCAGGGAAAACTTAACTAGACAGAATCATAATCAACACAATAATTTGGGGGTGGGGATCCCAGGCCTTTTGGGATTTTTAATGGTCACAAATGTCTTCAGTTTTTCAAAATGGGCACCCCTACAGTGTTATCAGCACAGTGTCAAAACACCAGCTGGGGTATTTGGTTTATTGCTATCTCAGGTGAGAGCCAGTCAAATTGCCCACATCATTTTGAGAGATTCCTTTGGTAGAAGATGGAGATGTCTCCTATGGGTATGCTCACCTAAATTAACTTGTCTTTAGTTTGAGCTGATACAGTCACAGCTTGAGATGCTGAGATGTTTCATTTATAAATAGCATGTTGTCCTAGGCTACAGACAGACAAAACAATAATGCTACTTTAAAAGGTGCAGGGTACTTGCTGCTCATAACTCTTCATCACCTCACTGATTGTCACTTGTGTCCACTCCTGTCCTTCAGTCAATGACATTTTAATACAGGTTATCTTTACCAGAATAAAACAATAGTTTAAACTGTTGTGGGTTTTAGCATCCATTTTTCACAGGATAGGAATGGACACTTGAAACAGTTGCAGTGGATCAGCATGAAATAGTAGAATGAATGGTGAAGGTTCTTGAACTACTGATATTGTACATTTTATTTTAGTTGCAGGAAGGTGAAGAGGAGCAGGGTGAGTGTTCTGGAGAGTCCCCAGAACAGGAAAGTCCAGAGGACACTGAAAGTAGCTCCGAGTCAGAGCAAGAGGGATCTACAGAAGAACTGCAAGCACCTGAAGAGCATGATGAAGATGATGCCCCTGAAAGCAAGAAAGATGTGAAAAGCAGTTATAAAATGATGTTTGTTAAAGCCAGTGGTTCATAACTGCAGGTCTAAGATCTCTCATCTTTAAAGTACAATACAGTAAGCCTTATTGTTACAGTGCAAAGTGAAGGACTGCTTACAGCACAGACCTTTGTATTATGATTTTAAAAAATGCCCTTTTAGATGACAAAAATAATAGTGTTTGCTTTCAGCTGCCATGGATGATATTTTCATGGGTATAAGGGTATCCATTTTTTTGTAAAGTGTTTAAAAAGAAAAAAAAAGTATTGGAGGAAGAAATAAACTTAGTTCCCAACTTACTTATTCTCTAAACCCACCCTCTCATTCCACTATACTTGTTGAATTTTTTTAAGATCCTTATTAAGGTGATTTCTTTGATTAGCATTTTGGTTTGGATTATTAAATATTTTGTGAGAGTTGCTGGATGCTGCATTAATGATGAAATACCAATGGCAACAATATATTTAATGGTGTATTAGAGCTTTAAACCTACAGCTACTAGCACTGCAATGTGGCAGGGTAGTCCAGAATCAATTATTCATTTAGATTCTGCTACTGTGGATGCCTGTAACCATGCAGAGTCCCATAGGCTGTGTCTGTGTTGGGCAGGGTGAGACTTCAGAATTGCATCTAGATGCAGGTGGCCCCTTTGTCACCTCTCCAGGCCTGTTTATAATAACAAAAATATATGGGGGTATATATTGAGACTAGCTTGAAAGAGAAGACTTTTATTCATGTTAGTTAAAAATTGATTCTTGAAGTGCATGGTGCAGGGCTTTGGACACCTGTTTCTAGTATTAATATACAATTTTCAGTCCATCCCTAATGTAGTAGGGATATTTAGGGGATAACAGTACACATTGAGTTTATGGCAAAGGAAAAAATGCTTTGTTAATGAGGAGCGAGACCTCGGCTCCATTCCCTTTTTAAAGGAAGCGCTGCAGCATGGGTAGAGTTACAGTGTGTGTGCCCCTTGCTTGAGTCACTTATGTGGAGGTACTTATAATTAACAAGGAAAGACCAAGCAATTTTCCCCTCTAACTTTCACTTTCCTTGTACAAAGTCCTAAGACTGTTAGCGGTTCCTTCCACAAAGGATTAAATATTTCCATGTCTTCTGCAAATATATTTTTGGTGTATTAAGGTAACTGTAATAAAATATCAAACTGCTATAGCATATGCATTTTCTCACGTGTTAGTTTAGTGCCTCAAATGGATCTACAGCTTTATAAAGAGAAAACTCAGCTCTTTTATGAGAGAATAGCAGAACCCTGGGCCTGCATTCTTGTTCAGCCTTGTTCCCTCATGCTGTTGCTTTGTATCTAAGAAACATTGGCAACATGGTTGTTTCCATAATACTGTTAGTAACAGCCAACTTGAGAGTTTGAAGTTGTGCTTCATCTGGACAGAATATTGAAACCGATTCAAACTTTGCTTGAAAAAATGTGACTTTGAATAATTGTTACTTTATGGGTGGAGAAAAGTATGGGGAAACACTAAATATGAAATTGCCTTGAGCAGATTTTAATTTACGTTCCAGTTATTTAAGCATAACTAAGTTGACTTTCTTTTAAAAAAAAAAAATAATTGAATCAGATTCCATATTGGGTAGAGAGAAGGATGGGAGGAGGGAAGGAAATGCTGATTGGAACCAGAAATTTTGAACTCCATTGGTTTTTAGAAGTATAGATTGTGACTGACAATCTGAATATTTCCCCTTTCACACCCTGTTTGATCTGCTTTACAGTGCTTACTTTTTTGCACAATGCAAAAAAGTAACTTTTGACCCTTTTTTTTATATTTGCCTGAAGAGAACAAATTTCAAAGATGATATTTATTCATTTAGATGCAACAGCAGGACAATAAAAACAAAAAGCTACAGGTTACTTTGTTTTATACTCCTTGGTATCAGAGTAGGGTTTTCAGGCTACTTGTGTTTATAAAACTAAAAAAAAAAGTGATTGACTTTTGATCAGATGTTGAACCAGTGATCATTTCCTCCTACTGTTTTTAATATGTAAATACATTTGGAAGAGGGGTCATGCTGCTAATGTATGCTGGATCATATCATCATCCGGTGATAATGTCACCTGCCATTTCAGGGCTTGTCTGTACAGAGGTGCTTGGGAAAAAATGAGACAAATTAACTAAAGATGCAAACAAATGTGTAGGTGGATACTTCCAGTCAAATGTTAAAGAGGTCTTAGTTTCCCTTGGTTTAAGGCCTTTAGAAGACACATTTACAAAGCAGATTATTATAGGAGCCTATGTGCTTTCAAGGTCTTGTATGAACTAACACCTACAATGGAGGAAATATATGTGAAGTCGAAAGGTGGTTCACAGCAGTGTCAATAAAAAGCAGCTCGTTAAGTAAGTACGTGTAGAAGTAGTTGCCAAAATATTAGAGGTAAGACAACTTTTCTGAGCCTACTTTATGCCTGACAGCTGGGCTTTCTACAGATAGTGAGATTCTATTTTTACTTCAGAAGGTTGAAGTCCAGCAAATATCAACAATCCCATGCTCTCCAGGTCTTACCCCATGCGCATAATGATGGAGCCAACATCCACACAGCCAATCAGTTCTGAAGTCCTATAATCAAGTTCTCCAGATGGTACGCCTTTCCTGAATAGCCTCTGCCAACGTTTGTCAACACTTTTTTCCTACCTAGAACATCCACCAGTGGTACAAAGGCAGATTTGTTTTAACACATCCAGCAAACAAAACAAAACAAAGTAGTATAAATTGTATATTGGGCTAGACTTGACTGTTTTAGTCACTTTGCCAAATTAACAAGATAAAAAATTCCAAGCCCTGATCCTACAAATTGTTCATACTAGCTCACTGCTGTCCACACAGAGTCTTATTGTCCTTCTGCCAAGCATTTTGAACATTTCTTTGAATCCTTTTTTTCATACTTGTTTAGATAGTGGCAAAACAGGACAATGCTTACTATATCATTCTGCTCACCACTGACTTACTGAGCACATAACCTGAGAGTCCTGGATTGGATAGGGCTACAATCTGCCAGTTAACATCACCGAGGGACAATGTCCAAGGTGTTGGCTCTGGATTTGTGACTCAGATACCTTGTTCCAAGCGGACCCAAACCATCAGACTGACCACAAACTCTCCAATAATAGACAAATTTTACTAATATACAGTGATAGCAGATAAGAATTCTATTTTTACCAGTCTTACAGCTGCACAGAGTCAAGGTACATCTGGCCAGTACGCGAGCTTCACCCTGAGTTTCTCTCTTGAATGTCAGATGTCAGCAGCCTAGAGGTCAGAAGCAGAGCCCTCCCCCCGCCCCCCAATCCCACCCCCAGTAGGGTGGATGTGATGGGCTGGTGGTGTGCCCTCTGTCCATGGTAGCCTCGGGTTCTCATCTTGGAGATCCTGTTCTCCCCCTCTGACCCTCATCATCTCTGGGCATTGTTGATTGGTCTCCCTGTGGTCATTATACTGTCCACCTTCTGTCCTGTCAGCATATCCCTTTGTTTTACAGACCCATTACATGCACACATCCTAATTTGGTATATCTACCAAAACCAGAAATCCCAAGGGCTCTGCAGTTTGGCACTGTGAGCTGGCGCCAATGTGGCAGAGTCCCTTATGTTATGGAACAGTGTGGTACATATCTTCAATTTCTCAGCCGGTGTCTGCTTGCCTGCATCAGGCACAGTGAACCTTGAAGGAAACTATCACAAGCAGACTTAGAAATCAAGTAATCCTTGCCATTCCCCTGGATCATTGTTCTA